GGACGGCCGCTGCTTTAACCAGCCTAGTGTGAGGACGGCCGCTGCTTTAACTAGCCTAGTGTGAGGACGGCCGCTGCTTTAACCAGCCTAGTGTGAGAACGGCCGCTGCTTTAAACAGCCTGGTGTGAGAACGGGTTGGGCTTTAGTGTCCACGCGGCCCGGTCCTCGACCAGGCCTCCACCCCCAGGAAGCAGCCCGTGACAGCTGACTAACACCTAGGTACCTATTTTACTGCTAGGTAACAGGGGCATAGGGTGAAAGGAACTCTGCCAATTGTTTCTCGCCGGCGCCCGGGATCGAACCCGGGACCACAGGATCACAAGTCCAGTGTGCTGTCCGCTCGGCTCCCTAGGCATTATTAGGGGTTGACATTAGGGGTTGCTAAATGCTTCACCCACGTACTACAAATACAAATAATCGCCAACAGAACTTAAACACCTAACCTAACCTATGCCTATATATGCACAATATGCTAATATATTATAATATTAATTTATATTTGAGAAAATTCCCGTTTTGTATGAACAGCATGTAAAAAATTATGAACGCGTCTGTGGGGTCGACCGCTGGATGTAATGGACTTCGGCCAGATTCACGAAAGCACTTACGCAAGAACTTACGAACTTGTACATGTTTCCTCAATCTTTGACGGCTTTGATTACATTTATTAAACAGTTTACAAGCATGAAAACTTCCCACTGTACTGTTGTTATTGTTATAAACAGCCTCCTGGTGCTTCGGAGCTCATTAACTGTTTAATAATTGGAAACAAAGCCGCCAAAGATTGAGAAAAGATGTATAGGTTCGTAAGTGCTTGCGTAACTGCTTTCGTGAATCTGGCCCCTTGAGTCGAGGACAGGGTTGAGTCAACATCCCGAACACTAAACGTGATCCTCTCTTTAACATAGTTAGAAGACTATCAGAGGGGAAATTTAACGTGGAGCGCCAGAGATTAACTCAATCATGCAAACCAAGTTAGGGAATTGAGTTACCTTCCTCTATGACGAATTAATTAATTACGCTTGAAGGGGGGCGGGTGACGCTTCACTCTTACTCATTTGTTGGGAGAAAAAATGTACAAATATTTAAAGTATATATATTATTACACGTGAGAGTAAAAACTGGTGTAGCAGAGAGTAATTATGGAGTGATCGACACGTATTACATAAATATATAAGCCACATAAGAGCCCCGGGGTGACATTAGGCTACATGAGAGCCCCGGGGTGACATTAGGCTACATGAGAGCCCCGGGGTGACATTAGGCTACATGAGAGCCCCGGGGTGACATTAGGCTACATGAGAGCCCCGGGGTGACATTAGGCTACATGAGAGCCCTGGGTGACATTAGGCTACGTGAGAGCCCCGGGTGACATTAGGCTACATGAGAGCCCGGGTGACATTAGGCCACATAAGAGCCCCGGGTGACATTAGGCTACATGAGAGCCCCGGGTGACATTAGGCTACATGAGAGCCCCGGGTGACATTAGGCTACGTGAGAGCCCCGGGTGACATTAGGCTACATGAGAGCCCCGGGTGACATTAGGCCACATGAGAGCCCCGGGTGACATTAGGCTACATGAGAGCCCCGGGTGACATTAGGCTACATGAGAGCCCGGGTGACATTAGGCTACATGAGAGCCCGGGTGACATTAGGCTACATGAGAGCCCGGGTGACATTAGGCCACATGAGAGCCCCGGGTGACATTAGGCTACATGAGAGCCCGGGTGACATTAGGCTACATGAGAGCCCGGGTGACATTAGGCTACATGAGAGCCCGGGTGACATTAGGCCACATGAGAGCCCCGGGTGACATTAGGCTACATGAGAGCCCCGGGTGACATTAGGCTACATGAGAGCCCCGGGTGACATTAGGCTACATGAGAGCCCCGGGTGACATTAGGCTACATGAGAGCCCCGGGTGACATTAGGCTACATGAGAGCCCGGGTGACATTAGGCTACATGAGAGCCCGGGTGACATTAGGCTACATGAGAGCCCCGGGTGACATTAGGCTACATGAGAGCCCCGGGTGACATTAGGCTACATGAGAGCCCCGGGTGACATTAGGCTACATGAGAGCCCGGGTGACATTAGGCTACATGAGAGCCCGGGTGACATTAGGCTACATGAGAGCCCCGGGTGACATTAGGCTACATGAGAGCCCGGGTGACATTAGGCTACATGAGAGCCCGGGTGACATTATACAAATACGCCAAACCTGTCTATTGTCGAGTTTTGTAATGTCTACTAAACAGGGCAGAAAAGGATGGTGCAAACTGCATAATTATAACTCCCAAAAAATCAACGATACAGCTTCGTATAGAAGACTACTGAAATTGATGAAAGAGTACCTGTAGCAGGCATGAAGCAGCAAATCAGTGAAAGGGTGAGATGTTTACATTGGTGTAAGCAAGTGTGGTCCCACACGGATCGGCCTCAACTCCTATTGTTCCTTGATTGATTGATTGATTCATGAAGATTAAGCCACCCAAGAGATGGTACGGGCATGAATAGCCCGTAATACTCTTGCTCATCAATGTAGATGACTTAACCTGGGCAGTACCTGTGTATGTTTTTTTTTTGTAGATGAAAAATTCATGAAATTAGAGACAGAAGAAGACTGTAGAATAGTTTTCCTCCTCGAAGGAGGAAGAACTTCTTCGGGCTCTTCCTATTCCTCGTCTTCTTCCTTGTCCCCTTCTTTCTGCTCTTCACTAGTTTCCTGCTCCTTAGCCATGATCTCTGTCGAGAACAGTTTGAGTTTCTCGTACGATCACTGGAGGAGAGTGAGCAGCAGGAAGTAATGTGGTGGTGGTGGAGAGGCGCCAGCCAGGAGCCCACCAGACAACTGGGCGCAGTTTGACGCGCCTGAAGTGGTTGGTGGAGGTCGTCACACTGCCAGATTTATGGAGAGGGAAGGGCGAGGCTTCCTGTTAGCCTCTCTTTTGTGTCCCCGCCTCAAACACTGCGTCAAAAACACGCCAGCATAAAAACGGTGTCACGTCACCCTGAACCAGGCTCTTTCTGGGAGAGGACTTTACAAGACTTTTTAGTACTTTCTCCTTTCATCCTCTCTCTCTCTCTCTCTCTCTCTCTCTCTCTCTCTCTCTCTCTCTCTCTCTCTCTCTCTCTCTCTCTCTCTCTCTCTCTCTCTCTCTCTCTCTCTCTCTCTCTCTCTCTCTCTCTCTCTCTCTCTCTCTCTCTCTCTCTCTCTCTCTCTCTCTCTCTCTCTCTCTCTCTCTCTCTCTCTCTCTCTCTCTCTCTCTCTCTCTCTCTCTCTCTCTCTCTCTCTCCTCTCTCCTCTCTCCCTCTCTCCTTCCCTTCCTTCCTTCTTCCTTCTCCTTCCTTCCTTCCTTCCTTCCTTCCTTCCTTCCTTCCTTCCTTCCTTCCTTCCTTCCTTCCTTCCTTCCTTCCTTCCTTCCTTCCTTCCTTCCTTCCTTCCTTCCTTCCTTCCTTCCTTCCTTCCTTCCTTCCTTCCTTCCTTCCCTTCCTTCCTTCCTTCCTTCCTTCTTCCTTCCTTCCTTCCTTCCTTCCTTCCTTCCTTCCTTCCTTCCTTCCTTCCTTCCTTCCTTCTTTCTTTCCTTCTAACACCTTACCCAGTCATCCTCTCTACTCTCCCTCCAGATCATCCGGTCTCCGGCCCCCTTTCTACAATTTCCATCCTCATGTTTGTTCCTCCGCCAAGTGAGAGCCCGAGATGCGCTTGTCTCATTTGGTGTCTAGTGAGGAGGAAAGTGAGGCGCTGGTACTCATTACGGGTCTCCAGTGAGGTGCGATTACAACCTGGCGTGTGGCCCCTTCAATTTCAGCGTGAGTTAAGGAGTCAAGGATTCTTTGGTAGTGTTGTTGCTCTCCCACTGACTGGTCTTTGCTGATAACCCGGTCACTGAAGAACAGTGTCGCAGTACCAGCTGTGGCTGAGAATGAAAGGGTTGCCGCGGCGAAGTGGGAGCGAATTGTTGTAGAGCGTCTGCTTTAACTACTCGACAGTCTAGTGGGGTCGTCCTCCCCTCCCCCCCCCTCCCCCCACTCCCGGAGGGGAGGGGGGGAGCACGGGGAGGGGAGAAGGGGGTGGGGGGGACGGGCGTGCTCTCAACTCTTCCTGCTCTCAGCACAAATTTGATTCCAGCAGGAAGGAGCTGCTGGTGGAGTCCCACGCGGCGTGCCCTGCTTCCTCTTTAGGGTGGAGTCGAAGTCCACACGCCTCGTAGCCATCCCTCGCACCACTATATATCCCTCCTTTGCTCTTGCAGGTCGGCGAATCACCTTCCTGTTGGTCTCTGCGCCTCGGATATTGTTCTTGTTACAAGCGTACACAGCGAAGACAAATGATATTTGAAGAATTCTTTGTATGTCAACTCCGGGGCGTGGGAGGACAGCTTTAAAGTCTTGATGGTGCCTGACTGTGTGACGGTGATCTACATTCACCGCTGTGGAGCCCCGGTGTTCTAGTTTACTGCTGTAAAAGTCTTTACGCGCCGGTGTCACGGTAACCTAGAGCTGGACACAGCTGGTGGGGGGTGTGTTGGACACAGCTTGTGATGGGTGTGTTGGACACAGCTGGTGGGGGGTGTGTTGGACACAGCTGGTGATGGGTGTGTTGGACAAAGCTGGAGGTGTGTGCTGGACACAGCTGGTGGGGGGGGGGGGGTGGACAGCAAGGCCTGTATTATTGTGACCGTAGAGGTTCACTATCCTGCCAGAGTGTAATCCAATATATTACAGTCCGAGAAACCTGTAGAGCGAGATTGGTTCCCTCCCTGTATTCATTTGTGATGTTATTGCCTCGTATCTCAACGCTGACGTATGTGTTTCTACCTTGCATTGAACGGCTCCCAACACCTGTGTCTGCCCAACACCTGTGTCTCCCCAACACCTGTGTCTGCTCAACATCTGCGTCTGCCAGAACCTTGTCTCTGTTGAACCAAGAAAGAAGTCTGTGTTTTGTGCCTAATACAATCAGAGATCAACAACGTCATACCTTAGTTAACCTCTGCTTTATAAGATGGTCCCGGGGGCACGACACGGCCCCGGGGGCACGACACGGCCCTGGGGGCACGACACGGCCCCGGGGGCACGACACGGCCCTGGGGGCACGACACGGCCCCGGGGGCACGACACGGCCCTGGGGGCACGACACGGCCCCGGGGGCACGACACGGTCCCGGGGGCACGACACGGTCCCGGGGGCACGACACGGCCCTGGGGGCACGACACGGCCCCGGGGGCACGACACGGCCCTGGGGGCACGACACCACGACACGGCCTTGGGCCCCGGGGGCACGACAGACACAACCGGGTCTTGTGATGCCCCAATTCGGGGCATTACAGCTATCATCTTCCACAAACTGGGGTCATCTCTTCCTTGTTTTCCATACAAACTTGAATTAAGCTTTGCTAATTTGGGTAAGTTTGGATGTAAAGTGTGGATTGTGGCAGGTAATGAGGTCAGTGTAATCAAGTTTAATAGGTAATTAAAGTGGTGCATGTGTTGAGGACGGAGGATATGAGGGGGGAGAGATGTGAGGGAAGGGAGAGAGAGGGGGGCGGTGTGAGGGGATGGAAGGGCGGTGTGTGAGGGGTTGTGGAGGTCGGTTTAACAACGAGACATAAACGAGGTCCGTTAAATTAAAGAAACCTGTCCTCTGTGACGTGCTGTGACTGCTTGCGTTGTGAATTATAATGGTTTTTAACTCGTCAGTTGCGAGGGTCACACAGACACAAATTCTGACCTGGAGAAGGGCGAAGAACCTGCCGCGTTGACCTGGGGGTGGGGGCGACCTTCCCTACGACCCGCTGTAAGGGCGAAGGATCTTGTAGCCCCAGAGCCGACAGGAAGGTTAAACCGAAGGGGTTGGTGCAGCTCCACCTTCTCCGACGTGCACTGAATGTCAAAGTGAAGAAATTCAAAGAAGCGCGGGTAAACGGCGGGGGTTGTTTATATTAGCTCGCTCTCACGTCGTGCTGCGATCATTCTGTCGTACATAAGACTGTTTCTAGCGCCCCCGACATCCACCTGCCCTTGTGCCGCGCCCTTCTCTTGATCTGTCCGGTCGCCGGATATTTCTGCTGTTCCTCCGTCACTCTGCTGGCCTCACTCACAGCTGCTGCACTCTGCTGGCCTTACTCACAGCGCTGCACGCTGCTGGCTTCACTCACAGCTCCTGCACTCTGCTGGCGTCACTCGCAGCTGCAGCATCTCAGGTATCTTGATCACGGTGAGAGAAGCGCCCAGCTGCGTCTGGTTATGACTCCCTTGAAGACTGTTGTCGTCCCTCTGGGCGGTCTTATCTGCCAGCCTCGCTCTCTCCTCCTTGGCTTGCTGGCCACCGCACGCCGCCCACTCTGACACACGCCGCCCATTCTGACACACGCCGCCCTCTCTAACACACGCCGCCCTCTCTGACACACGCCGCCCTCTCTGTCCGGTAATTCTATCAGATAAAATGCCTCAGAGTTGACTGTGGTTGAGAGCTGAGAGTTAGACCAACTCTTGACTGTTATCTGGGAGCGCCCACAGTCAGGGAACACAAGACACACGCACCATACACTGAGAGGTCAGAGGTCACTCACCAGAGGGTAAAACAATAATTGTGCCGTAGACACAATTATCTATTAATAAAGTGGGAACTGCGCAGTTAGTCAGTAATAATGGTGAAACTGCCCTTCGTCTGCCAGATCTTGAGTGTTCAGCTTGTACCTGAAGTTTGAAGCCTGTGACTTAAGTAAAGTGACTTGGGGCGTACCCATACATACTGAACATTGTCCACTCTACAGTTTTTTCTTACCTACATTCTTGTCAAAGTTAATAAGTTCTGCTTGTTGTAAACACTGTAGGATATCTACATTGTAGGATATCTACATTGTAGGATATCTACACTGTTCAGTGATATTACTCTGAGGTTTTCAAGCAATACTGCTCATAATACTGTCATATTATATCTTTCTTATTTTCCGCTGCTTCAGCAGATAAATACGTGTTCATAAGAGGATTCCTATCATATATAGTTTTCCATAATGTTTCAAATTTTCGGATATACCGGAAATCGACTTGAGAATGGTCCAGGACGGACCGAAACGTCGTCGTCCCTTCATTTTTTAGTGTGTGGATTGGTCAACAACTTCCGGATACACCGTTAACAGCTGTTTTGGAGTTCATAGTTGTCGTCAACATATATGAGCGTGAGTTTGGCGCCAGGTGTGGGATGGGTGTAAGCACAGGTGTGTGTGGACAGGTATAATAATACCCCTCACAACGACATCACTCAAAAACTCACTCCTGCTAATTAGTGTTTCCCCGCTACAAAACTCAGCAATTACCTTGATAATTAGACTTGTAAACGCCTCTAATGAAGGAAATATTTGCTCGAATCAATTAATTTTGTCTCTTAAATGAGTCCGTGTAATTGTTAGTTGTTATCAAGACTTCGAGTGAACAAGTCATTACAATCTTTCACAGGGATGAGGTAAGTGCCCCGCCCCCCCCCCTACATCATCACGCGGTGAATGAGGCGTGAGTGAGGCCACAGTTATCACTGCTCGACTGTCACTGACTACGATAGTGAAGTATAGGTCTTCTCCGACTGAAAAATGCTGAATCTAGCTCACGGTCCCGGCTAATGCAGTAATATAAGAACTTAGCAACAATGGTAACTGCAGAAGGCCTATTGCCCCATAGATTGATTGATTGATAAAGATTAAGCCACCCAAGAGGTGGCACGGACATGAATAGCCCATAATTGGCCCATACGTTATTGCTGTTTTAGATTCAGCTACTCGGAACAAAAAGTTCCAAGTAGCACGGGCTATGGTGAGCCCGTAGTGTTCCCTTGTCTAGAAGGCTATGAGAACAATTGGCCAAGTAACCACCAGTCACCTACAGTACTTTACCACAAGAGCCGCTCTCTTGATATAGGCCAGTCAGTTACAACAAGTCATAAGTATCGCTCGTCACTACAACTGAAACTGTCCATTCAGGTGCAACATAACTTATTCTCTCAAGACCCAAGTAATTATATAGCCGTAACCTCCTGTTCTTGGGTCCCGCCTCGTCTCTGATGATCCTTCACAATATCTCCACAGACTAACTGGCGTCTCCTCTGGTCTTAGGATTCTGGTAGGATCCTTTATCCTTCTCGTACTCCCTTAAGTCCACACAGGATTTCGATTTAGTGCTAATATCCACACTTGGTCCATGGTTATGTTAGGTTAAGGTTTGGTTAGGTTAGGCTTCATTGCATTAATATGGTGTATTATTGATAATGTGAAATATTGTATTCGTAAACTATTTCGGTGTGCCCTAGAATTCCGTTTACAGAAAACTACATTTTTTAAAGAAAACGTTTTTAACATGCACTTTATATTTTAAACCAAAGATTTATAATAGAATAACGTTATAAATTGATAATAATTTCTGTTTACGACGTAGGTTCATTTGCCAGTTGACGTAAAATGCTTTCAGATCATCACAAATATCTAGATAACTATCCAGCTGGTTTGAAGAGGAGGAAGAGGGAGGGGGGGGGAAGGTTCTCGTGGTAATGGATTTGCTGTGAGGACGGGCTCAAGGAACAGTCATCAGCACTCCTCAAGGAACGGAAGACATAGGATTTCTGCGCAAGGAACCGTCATAAGCCTGCGCAAGGAACAAGTCACTGCAAGTGATTGTAATGGTCATTAGAAGTGTCCCCGTGTGTGTGTGTGTGTGTGTGTGTGTGTGTGTGTGTGTGTGTGTGTGTGTGTGTGTGTGTGTGTGAGAGTGTGTGTGTGTGTGTGTGTGTGTGTGTGTGTGTGTGTGTGATCGTTGACAAGATGTAGTTGAAGCCGCCTTGGTTCATGACCATGACAGGCATCATTATCATCATGACACGTGTCTGTAGCACTAGTTCTTGTTGCTGATGTCGTCTGTGTCTCACTGTGACCTCTCACGTCCTTATCTCCTGCCCTCCCGTGTGTACTGACCTCTCTGGTCTCTCCTGCCCTCCCGTGTGTACTGACCTCTCTGGTCTCTCCTGCCCTCCCGTGTGTACTGACCTCTCTGGTCTCCTGCCCTCCCGTGTGTGGTGACCTCTGGTCTCCTGCCCTCCCGTGTGTACTGACCTCTCTGGTCTCTCCTGCCCTCCTGTGTGTACTGACCTCTCTGGTCTCCTGCCCTCCTGTGTGTACTGACCTCTCTGGTCTCTCCTGCCCTCCCGTGTGTACTGACCTCTCTGGTCTCTCCTGCCCTCCCGTGTGTACTGACCTCTCTGGTCTCCTGCCCTCCCGTGTGTGGTGACCTCTGGTCTCCTGCCCTCCCGTGTGTACTGACCTCTCTGGTCTCTCCTGCCCTCCTGTGTGTACTGACCTCTCTGGTCTCCTGCCCTCCTGTGTGTACTGACCTCTCTGGTCTCCTGCCCTCCCGTGTGTACTGACCTCTCTGGTCTCCTGCCCTCCCGTGTGTGGTGACCTCTGGTCTCCTGCCCTCCCGTGTGTACTGACCTCTCTGGTCTCTCCTGCCCTCCTGTGTGTACTGACCTCTCTGGTCTCCTGCCCTCCCGTGTGTACTGACCTCTCTGGTCTCTCCTGCCCTCCTGTGTGTACTGACCTCTCTGGTCTCCTGCCCTCCCGTGTGTGGTGACCTCTGGTCTCTCCTGCCCTCCCGTGTGTACTGACCTCTCTGGTCTCTCCTGCCCTCCTGTGTGTACTGACCTCTCTGGTCTCCTGCCCTCCTGTGTGTACTGACCTCTCTGGTCTCTCCTGCCCTCCTGTGTGTACTGACCTCTCTGGTCTCCTGCCCTCCCGTGTGTGGTGACCTCTGGTCTCTCCTGCCCTCCTGTGTGTACTGACCTCTCTGGTCTCCTTGTCTCTCCTCACCTTACGGAAGTCGTGGTCCTTGAGGGGGCCTGTGTAGCCTCTTGCGCTGGCCGGGAGTGTCTTGGATGCTGGGAAGCTCACCCGGCGCCGGCCACCCCCCCCCCCCCCCCCCGCCCCGCCCTCACACTCAACAATACGGCCAATAACATCTTTACACCCTCGGCTAAATACCTCTGTGGTTGAAGCTATCGTATCAGTAATTCGGTAGAAAGCACAATAGGCGTTTTTGTAATACTGTCTTTTGGTTGGTTGCCATGGTTACCTCTTCTCCGTCCCGCGAGCTGCCTATTGATCGAGGCGGTACATCCTGCCCCCGCACGGACCGGGCTCTCTGATTGGCTGACTCAGCTGGGGGAGGGTGGGGGGGGGGGGGCTCTCAAGTAACGGATTGCTGATTGGCAGGGTAGACTAGGTCATATTCTTCTACTCTCTCTCTCTCGTTACCAAAACATAGTTACAACAATACTAACTGAATGATATTGCTTT